AGAGCAGATTTATAGCAATGAAATCTGACAAACTGATAGCTCTTCTTGGGTCGTCTAATGAAAATGACATAAAAAAGGACCTGCAAGCTGGAGACTACCATCCTATGCCAAAACACAGTGTTTATACAAGCAAAAAATTGGATCAGAAGGGCTGAATGTTAGGGTAGAGATACACCTCGCCAACATCAAAGAACTAGCAGTGACAAAGGAAGCAACTGTCGCCTCACATTGCCTTCATCAGGGTCAAAATGTGGCACTTGAACACATCGCACAGACTGCGGCTGACAGCCAACTAGCATGCATGTTCTGTGCCTGTGTGAGAGAAAAAAAAAAAACTCTCCCTACCAACAGGTGGTGGTAGCCCGTATTCACCATTCAAAATGGGAAAGAGGTAGACCTAGGACTCCAGATATACAAACTACAAACAAAGTGGTTCTCGCTCACCACAGACCGTTAATAGCTGCTTCTAATTGAGAATATGTCTGATAAGAAGTTGCAAATGGCACTGGCATTCCCTGCCCTTGGTCTTTTGGTTGTGGAACAAGAAAGGAAGTTGTGGAGGCGAAAAAGCAAGTGGAAATTGCACTAAAGGGGTGAAATTATGGTTACTACAGCAAACGGGCTCAGGGAACTTTCCTGAACCTCTCACTTCTTGTGAATTGATTTGCTAAGCTGAGCAGTCAATCAGAGAGGTATCCCTCACTGACGAGATCCGCCACTGATTCAACATGTTGAATCAGCCAAAAGGCCACCAACAGGGTCCAACTAACATTAATGGTGTGAGACACACTGCAAAGACGAGGGTGACAGATGCTCACCAACAGCCCTCTCGACTTGGTATGGCACAGGCCTTATACTGACCGCAATTACAAAGCCACTAAGCCTCTTTTAAAGCCAGGAAAAATCCAGAATGGGAATTTTTGCTCAATGTATTTGGACACACAATGTGTGCGGCAACTCATTCATTACCACACGTCTGATTCAAAACATACCATTACTAAAACAGCTTTAAAACCAGGTCCCAAATGTGAAATTGCATAACAAGGTGTTCAAGCAAAGCTCTGCTACTCTGCACCATAATAATACATTGTAGTATTGAGAGACTGAGGGTTGTTGTTTCCAGTGAGTTTGTTTCTCTGAGTGACAGTCTACTGATGTTTGTTTGTTTTTAAACAACTAAATGATTAAACCAGGAGGCCAGGTCAAAGGTTGGGACACTTCCACCACAGGTTGCTAAGATGTGGTTTATAGGTCCCTGGCCTATGGTCCCTGCCTACATATATAAGCCCATGGCTTTTCAGATGAAGTGTTACTGTGTTCTTTTAATGTAATGATGTTAGATTTTTACCCGGTTCTTTCATTGAAAGTGCGAGAAGAGAAGACAGGAGAGGACTGTATAAAATCAACAGAAAGTTTACCCAAAGTCTGAGCACAGGTGAAGTCATACAGCGCTGCGATCAGAGAGACAGAGCTCACGCAGGAAATCCATTCTCTGAACCACGAGTTATGTTTTTTCGTTACATTTACCTTCTCGGGCTGAGTCCACCCTAGACAGAGGTATAACATTTCACCTAGGACCTAGTGAGTATGCTAAATGGGCCAGGTGGTCATCTCAGGTTGTAGGCCCCCTGGCAGAGCCAATCCCGGCCAGCAATCGGGCGAAGGCGGGGTACACCCTGGACAGGTCGCCAATCCAAACACCAGGTCACTAACCAACAAAATCAATGAGATTCAGTTGCGGATCGTCTCACAAAGGATGGACAGCTGTGTGGTGATTATAACTGAAACCTGGTTGGATGACAACATCCCGGACGCCGTGGTGGAGCTGGAGGGATGCTCCTTGTTTTGAACAGATAGGACTGCAGCATCTGCTAAACAGAGAGGTGGAGGTCTGGCTTGTACATCCACAACTTCTGGTGCACAGCTACGACCATCATTGCTCGAGGAACAGCACCAGCCTCTCGTCCTGCACCTACACCAGGTGAGCTCCACCCTGAGGAGGATCAACACCAACAAAGCCACAGGACCAGACAGGGTGTCAGGCCGAGTTTTGAAGCTATGTGCTGACCAACTGGCAGGAGTTTTCTTGGACATTTTTAACCTGTCCCAGCATCTTGTTTCAGTCCCTGTGTGCCTCAAGTCCTCCATCATTGTGCCTGTGCCCAAGAAATCAGCTGTCACCTGCCTCAGTGATTACCACCCTGTTGCTCTGACACCAGTAA